TTTTAATGCAAAAACCTTCTTTCTTGTATTTTTAATAATTTAAAATCTTTTAATCCCTTTGTTTTCTTCAATTGCCTTTTTTGCAAGTTTCACATTAAACTTACATGTTTCTTCTTGGATATGTTTTCTTATGGTCTTGAAAAGTTCAACATACTCCAGTTTATTAGTGAAACTTGTAGTATGCTTCATTGTCCATCAGTTTTTCATTAAATTAATGGTTTTATCAGAAATTTTTGACTGTTTTTCCAACAATGCTATAAATGTAGCAAATTCAAGGATGCTTTTGATTATTTGTCCATTTTGGTCCGTAATGTTCATCTCTTCTAAATCTTGCAATAGAGCACAGTGATTTGATAGATTAATCTCAAAATTGCTATTCACTTCTAACAGCTTGTCACTCTTTTTGTTTTTCATAACGTCTTTATCATTTTCATACACTCTTTTTGACAGTCTATCTTCACTTTAGCTTGTGACTTTCTATGGTCACTTCCAACATTAAAACAATTGATCCAACAGTACAATTGCAGAATATGGTTTTATTACTTGACATGATGTAGTCAATTTCGCTTCTGTACCCAGATGGACTCTTCCATGTCCATTTTCTACTAGCTTTTTTCTTGTAAAATGTGTTCATGATATAAAGTTCCTGTCCATCAGTCACCTCTATTATCTCATCCACTACTTCCATAGAGCCAGTTGTTTTTTTCCAGGTATTGTTCTTCCTATTCTTGCATTAAAGTCACCCATTAGTGTTTTGTATCGGCATTTTTCTTTGTCTTCAAGGCAGGCCATGTCATCGTTAAACTCTTTGACCTGAACATCACTACAGTTTATGGTTCATGCATAAGTTTGGATGATTTGAAGCTTGTATTGTTTGTTCAACTGAATGGTGCATTGGGCTACTCTGTCTGATATACTTCCAAATTTTACTACCATGTCTTTCAGCTTTTGGTTGATGAGAAAACCAACTCTGCCATATCATCCATCTTCAGTACCTCTAGTGTATAGTAAATGCCCAGTCCTATCAAGTTCAACTAAATTTTTGCCATTTTGTTGTGTTTCACATAATCCAATGATATCCCAATGCATATTGTTGAGTTCAATCAGCAGTTCTTCTAGTCGAGTGTCTGTTTTCATTGTTTGAATGTTCTGTTCCTATGCCCAAAGTCCAAAATCAGCGTGATTTAACCCGGTGATTCTTAGCACCCATTACCTTTGGGCAGGTCTTCCCGCTGCCATAGATAGTTGCCCTAGGGCCTCTGGGAAATATGGGCCATTTTTGGGATTGTATTGTCATGTGGAAAGAATAGATCATAATCTGCCACACTGGTCCAATGTATGACATTTATTTGGCTCAAAAAACTGCACTAAAGAGTCTCATTTTTTTTGAGCACCCAAAGAAGTATTCCAACTCTTCTACCCATTTTTCATCAAATTTGCAGATGACAAAATTTGGTGAGACAGTTAAAACTAAGCTGGAAATAAAATTTAAAGCAATTTTGATGATTGGGAAATGGGCTGAAAGTAATATTATGACCAGAGAGAACTGCAAAGTCCTTCACTTAGAAAATAAAATTCATTATGTGTCCAATGGTAACAAAGGTATAGAGTCCACTTGGATATACCAACATGGTCCTGGCCAGGTTCACATGGTTGTTTCTTGAGTGAAATTGTCAAGTCCACATAGCTGGCAAACAGATTTCAGAAATGCATCTTTAAACCTTAGTCAGGTAATTCACATAATTGTGAAAATTATAAATGCTCCTGAGCAGATTTATAGGAAACCATTTAGGGCAGCAACTCTTTGAAATATCTCCTAACAGCTCCCACCTTGGGGCTGTTATCTCTTTCCACAGCCAGTGAACTCCTATGTGCAATTCCCACATTCTCCTACAGAAACTTAAGCTGAACTTGTTTTCTGAAAGACCTTCTGCTGAGTGGATTGTCTAAGTGGACCTTAGGTTGATTTTAAATGACCGGGAAGGGGCCCTTTCACATTGAAATGGATGATCTAGATAATGATGCCATGTCTGAATCAATTGCTCCTGTGCCAACTTGAAAAAGCTCCAATGGAGAGTAGTGACTGGGATAGGCAGGTAGAGCTTCCTAGAATTGCCTTCCACCACTAATGATGTTTCCATTGTAAAATGTTAAATGATTGCTCTCTAATCCTTTGACACAGTGAAAGACAGAAGGAAAAAGTCACACCTTTTCTGGGTATACATCTCATGTACTGTAAGTGCTTCAGTGTTTATCTTCAATCTGAAATCTCTTGGATGCTTGGAGAATTATTATTTTGCTTCAAGATCTAACTCATTCTAATACAATTTGCTGCATATTCTCCCTGGGAATTGTTTTCAGGCAGGGCAGAATTTCTCCAGTTACATGTTCACCTGGGAGAAGAGGGGATCCTGCTGAGCAGGGTTGCCACTGAATCTTGACTTTTACACTGACTCTCTGCTGGATGGAGGACACCAACTGCCAGGACACTAAGCACAGCAGACACTTTCTTGTCCATTTCCTATCCAAAAGCTGCCCAGAATCCTCTCTAGGGTATACATAAATGGGAAAAATCCTTTATTCTGAAATATGTAGGAACTAAGCCTTTCTGTTCCAAAAATTCTGCTGAACCAGAGAGTAAGCCATGATTAATCAGAAATGAAAACAATGTTCAGGCAGGGTATAAGCCACTTCATCTTTTCATTCCACATCCCCCAACACTATACACCTCACCAGCTTGCCTGTCTCTCTGCCCCTGCCTTCCAGTCACAACCAATATCACAGCAAGGCCCACTTGCCAGCATCTTTCCCAGAACCCAGCCCTCCCTGAATCAGAATAGAGCTGGAAGGGACCTAGGTCTTCTAATCCAGCCACCTGCTCAAGCTATTGTCAGGGTTCCAAGTAACACCCCCAACAAAAGAAATACCATTTCAGACAAATGACTGTCCAGTCTCTCCTGTGATGGAACACCTACAACTGCTGAAGGCAAGATGTTCCACTGGTTTATTGTCCTGTAAGGAAATTTCTCCTTAATTCCAGGTTGCTTCTCTCCTTGATTAGTTTCCATCTGTTGCTTCTTGTCCTGCCTTCAGGTGCTTTGGAAAATAAGTTGACCCCCTTTCTTTGTGGCAGCCCCTCAAATACTGGAAGAGTGCTATCATGTTCCCGCTAGTCCTTCTTTTCTCTAGACTAGCCAAACCCAAAGCCAGCAACGGCTCTTCATATATTTTTGCCTCCAGGCCTTTAACCATCTTAGTTGCTCTTCTTTGTAACTAAGCTGCAAAATTGCAACTTTTTCCAACATCTTTTTTGTAATGTGGTGACCAAAACTGGATGCAGTATTCCAGGTGTGGGGTTACTAAGGCTTTATAAAGGGCTACTAATATTTAACATGATTTTGATTCAATGCCTCTGTCTATACAACCAAGGATAAGGATTGTATTAGTTTTGGCTGCTGCCACACATTGCTGGCTCATGCTTAAGTGATTGTCCACTAGGACTCCAAGGTCTCTCTCAGTTAGTTTTTGAGCCAATTTCACCTACTCTGTACTTGTACTTTTGTTTTTCCTGTCTTGGTGTAAAACGTTGCTTTTCTCCAGATTAAATTTCATTTTGTTGGATAGGGCCCATTGTTCAAGTCTGTCAAGATCCATTTGGATCCTGAGCTTGTCTTCTGGGGTGTTGGCTATTCTTGCCAGCTTAGTATCTTCCGCAAATTCAATGAGTTCTCCTTCTATTCCCTCATCTAAGTCATTTATGAAGATATTGAAGAGTACTGGGCCTAAGATCTTGTGGTACCTCACTGCTTACTCCCCTCCATGTAGATATAGTACCATTAAGGATTACTCGTTGAGTACGGTTTGTCAACCAGTTGCAAATCCATCGGGTGGTGATGGTGTCTATCCCACATTTTTCTGACTTACCAAGAAGTAGACTGTGATCTACTTTGTCAAATGCCTTGCTGAAGTCTAAATATACTATGTCCACATCATTTTGCTGATCTAATTTAGTCACTTTGTTAAAGAATAAAATGATTGGTTTGGCATGATCTCTTTTTAAAAAATTCGTGCTGCCTTTTAATTATAACTTTGTTTCTAGATGTTCGCAGATCTATTTTTTGATTATTTTTTGCAGTATTTTCCCAGGTATTGATGTTAGGCTGATCGGTCTGTAGTTTTCTGGGTCTGTTTACTTTGCCATCACCATCCATCTCTTAGCTCTTTTCCTGGTCTTCACACGCCCAATTCTGTATCAGTCCAAAACAACCGGAGCTGTGGCAAGGATTTTTCTTATCTGATTACTTGTCTGAATAGCTTCTTCCCCAAGACCGACTTTTACTTGGCATCCATCTCCAATGCCTGAAGCCTGGGCTGCATCATGCCACCAGTGAGCTCCCCCTTGTTCACGCGGATTGGTGAGCACTTCTTTATTCAGAACTGATTCTGAAAGTTAGGACTGCCACCATCACATGAATGTTAGTACAGCTAGCCATTCCATTGGTAGAAGAAACATGACAGCTGTAAGTATTTTTCGTTACTCACCCCGGTTATATTGATAACCCAGCAGTTGGGCTCTGACATCCAAGGTGAGCAATGTACAGAGAAAAAAAACCCGTATTGTCCATTGGGATTCTTCAGATATTGTCTACTGAATTGTTATGGCCCAGATTAGCATGTTTTATCTTTTTTTTTTAAAGGTCAATATTGAACAGGTTCTGATATGTATAGTACAGATAGAGCAGGGATGCCCAACCCGTGGTCCATGGACTGCCACCAGTCCGTGGCATGCCAGCAATCAGGCCACACAAAAAAAAACAACCAAAGCCCCATCCGCACGATGCAGGCAGCATGTAAAACCACAGCCCCTTGTTCCCCTCTCTCCAAGGAACCAGTCCCTGGTGCCCTGAAGGTTGGGGGCCACTAAGCTAGAGGGTAACATTAGGCAGTCTAATATTCGCCTTGGACTGAAGCTCTTGAAGAATGGCTGTTGTGGGTTGTACCTTGATTTCACACAGAAAATGAAGCCTTCCGCGCTGCTCAGGGGTTGACAAACTGAAGGGTATAGCTTCCTCTTTGCTTCTTTAGCCACTTCCTGCCTGTGAATAGGCAGAAATAGGGAGGAACAAAATCCATTAGATAGACTTCTGGAAGAACTTACTAACTCCTTACGAACAAAATAGGTTGTCTTTTTGCATCACTCTGATCATGTACACTATGGTTTCGCTTTGGAACAAACATAATGGCGGAGGGAGTAAAGCGACTGGCATGTTTGTACCCTGTGTCCATGAAGATGCAACCAAGCCTGTCCCATTTCTCAACTGGGCAGTTGAAAAATGGGAAGGTTTGGTTGCACCCTGCCCATTGGTCATCATTAGGCCAGCTCATATCTTCTTTATATGTATCCTGAGGCTGTGCCAAAAATATCAAAATACCTGCACATCCAACTTCCTCAGACCCTCCTGCCACCATTCCATTGAGAGCAAAAGCAGAAATGGTGGGTTTGCCCCCATTGAGATCTTGGGAGGTCAGTGCTTCCAGGTCAGTCCTCCAAACTTCCATCCTGAAACCGCTGATGGCTAATAGCCACTTGGGTGTTGTGTATTACCTTACCAGCCACTGGTACAGTCTTGTACCACTCTGGCAGCATTTGCCCCACAACCAATTTGTCTCTCTTTTCTGTCATCATCACATCTCAATGCATGAATAAATATTGTTTCAGTCTGCTGAACTGTAACCACTTGATACTGCTCAATGCCTAGCTTGACAAGGTCCAGGCAGGGGAGATTAGTATCATAAACTCTAGAAGCATTGCATACTCTTGAAGACAGCATGTAAGACTAAAGAGAAGGGCTTCCCTCTGACAAAGGAAGACACTCTAAGCCAGGTCTGCCCTGGACAGCTAGTAATATGCCCCAAGATCATAAACTTTTGACATCATAATTAATATACATTAACTATGTTATATATTTTATACGCAGTTCAAGAGAATTCCTCTTCACTCAAAAGAGGCTCAGGCAACCCAAAAAGTTGTACACCCAGGTTCTAAGTCCTGCTTTCTAGCTAGAAGAGATGGAGCTATCTCCTTCTATTCCTGGTGACAGAGAAAAACCTCATCTCTGATCTAAGCAGATATCTACAGCAACATCAGATGGCCAACAAAGCATGCTTTCATACTATCCATAATTTGTAAAAAATAACAATCAGTGCTATGAGTAGGTAACACTGTCTAGCATCAGACATATGCAAGTTATCTTGAATAGCCTACATGTTGGTTTTGAGAAAGTACAAGCTTTTAGATGAAGACTCTCAACTGTTAATTTTGTGCCATATTTCAAACAGGAAACATTCTTATATCCATGGAAAAGGAAAACTGGGACTTTGGGAGTAGGGGGAAAAGGAAAATAAGGAAAATGAAATTTAAAAGAAAACCAAAACATGTTAACTGCTTCCAAATCACACAGGAAAAGAGGGGACATCAACCTGGACATGGAATCTGTCTTCCATCGTAAACATTTAGTGCCCGTTACCATCTAGTGCAGCGGTTCTCAACCTGGGGGTCGCGACCCCTTTGGGGGTCCAACGGCCATTTCACAGGGGTCGCCAAAGCCCTCTCTTGCCCCCCCCACGCCTTCACTCACCCTCACTCTCTGCTCTGTTGGATCGCCGGCCGTTCGCTTACCCCGCCCACTCCCCATCTATTGCTGCCTCCGATGGCTAGAGGAAAAAAAAACTTCAAATTCTTGCCGCGGGGCTTCAAAGGGCCGCCCTAGAGCCAGTGGTGCAGCCGAACCCTTTGTTCAATTGCTGGCTTGCCCCGCCCCTCATCATCACTATTTATTGCCAATAAATAGTGGTGGGCGAGGGGCGGGGGAGCCAGCAATTGAACAAATGGTTCGGTGTTTTTTTTATAATTTTATTGGCCCACGGAGCTTCAGCATAGGCTAATTAGCCCTTGCTTAGATCGGCTCCCGACCCCCAGCTGATTTGCTCTCAGCTGTTTTGCTCACGGCTCTGCTCCTTGCTTGCAAAGAGTGCTGATTTTTTTTCCCCTAGCTATACTGAAAAACGAAAGAGAAAGTAAAGCAGGCTGTTGGCTTTGCACGCTGGAAAATTAGGCAGGCAGATTTCTTTTTCCTCACCAAAAAAGGTAGGTGCAAACAACGGGAAATTTAGGGAAAAAGAGGAGATTTTAAAACACAAAAGAAAAAAAGCTCTATTTAACTAGGGAATTGTAATAATTGAGATACTATTAATTGTATATTTCTGAAAGCAGAAATGGTTAAGTTGTGGTTTGGAGGAATATATGGGGGAATTTATTTGGTAATTATTTATATAATTAATTGATTTGTAAGAAATTGGATTGCATGGAAATAATTGGAATATTCATGTTCATATTGATTAATATACAAAAAAGGTAGTTATATAACTAATTGATTTATATTAAAATGTTGAATTCATATTAAACAACTGTAATATTACATAATTAACCAATGTGAGGATGGATATAAAAATAGATGACAATGGGAAGGGGTATAATATAGAATAGAAGGGAAAAATTGAATTTGATTAAGATTAGAGATGAGGATGAAGGGTAATATTGGTTTTTTACAAAAATAGATGAGGAATAAATATGGCAAAAAGAAAATATAGAAATTGTAAATTTAATTGAAATGACTAAACACTGTTTAAATTTGTGAACCGGCCAAATACTCTGTTCAAAGAAAATACATTGTATGTTTGTATGTGTGTTTCTAATTATTGTTATTTATTCATATTTGTTCTCTTTTATTCTTTAAAGTTTAACAATTCATTCTTTATCTTAATATCTTTATATTTGTTTGGGGTTGGCTTTCTTCCCTTTCATCTTTTTTATTGTACAGCAATCTTTCTCCTCAAACCTACCACCTCTCTCTTTTCTTTCCTTCTTACTTTCTCTTCCTCACCCTCTTCTTCTCCTCCCTACTTCCTCTTCCTTTCTCCTTCTCTTCCTCTCTTCCTCCCTCTCTTACCCTCACTCCTGCTCTAATTTCCCTTCTCTTCCTTCATCCCTCTCTATTGCTGTATCCTTTTATGCATATGGACTACTCAGAGGGCTGAAAAAGTTATTTCTGACTGGTCCTCGCACTTTTGTCCAGTCCTTGAACTTACGACTGTCCTCACATTTTACGTTTTTGCCCTATCTTGTCACCATGGTGAAGAGAAGCAGTTATGAAATGAGTGACAGATTAAGAATGCTACAATGGGCATAAATGATGACCAGTCATAAGTGCGAAGACCGGTCAAAAGTGCGAGGACCTGTCAGAAATCACTTTTTTCAGCCCTCTGGGTAGTCCTTTTGTGCATATGGACTATTCAGAGGGCTGAAAAAGTTATTTTTGACTGGTCCTCGCACTTTTGACCAGTCCTTGAACTTACGACTGTCCTCACATTTTACGTTTTTGCCCTATCTTGTCATCATGGTGAAGAGAAGCAGTTGTGAAATGAGTGACATGGTTGTTAAGAATGCTGCACGGGCATAAATGTGAGGATGGTCATAAGTGTGAGGACCAGTCAAAAGTGCGAGGACCTGTCAGAAATGACTTTTTTTCAGCCCTCTGAGTAGTCCCTATACACATAGCCATGGCCACCCGGTCACATGACCAGCTAGCCATACCCACCCAGTCACATGACCTCCAAGCCTCGCCCACAAAATAAGCCTCGCCCACAGAACCGATAGTAAAAAAATTTAGAACCCATCCCTGGTTGGGGGTCACCACAACATGAGGAACTGTATTAAAGGGTCGCGGCATTAGGAAGGTTGAGAACCACTGATCTAGTGGGAAGCAAAGGGATAGAAAACAAGCCCATCGTATGTCACACATACAAGGTCCTCATATGCATTTCCACTTTCTGAAGATTAATCAACTCAATCCATAACCTGCACAAAGCAGGGAAAAACAAGATGCATGCATGATTTGAGAAAGCACATCTAACAGCATATCACTGGAAGAAGGGGAAGGGGGAGGTATTCTGACCTATTTGTTTTTTTAACATCAGGAACTTCCACACAATCCTTTCTTTGGTCAATGGTATCTAATTCTTTTTCAGGTAGTGGGTTGCTTGTATTCTTGCCTCTCAGCTGCTTGTAACTTAGGAAAGTCTGTCTCTCTGAGGAGGACTGTTCAATCACTGCACCAAATGATTCATGTTCAGCCACTAGTTGGCTTCCTACTGGCAAATCATTTGTCACCGTCTTTATTGCTTCATTATCTATTTTTCTAGACAGACCTCTTTCCGGATTCAAAGAAGCTGTTACATCTGAATCAGCTTCTGGAATCCTAACACCATTGTAATTTGCACCAAACTCTGCTTGATTTTTAGAGCTCTTATTCAAGTATTTTTCCAAATCATTCATGAAAACAGCCCCCTCGCTTGAGCTGCCTGAAGAACCGGTCTGAGGAAGAGGTTTTGTGCTTTCAACCTCATCCAGAGCCCTCAGAGGCTGTGAAGACTCAGGACAAGCTAAAAGGCTACTCTCCACATCCTCACATCTATTTACTTCAACTGCTACAAAACATAGGGAGGTTTCCAGATCCTCTGCTATGAGCTCATCCTCAGCTTCACGAGAGAGTCCAGTGGGAGAATCTGGCTTTTCCTCATCAGAACGAGCCAGGATGGCATCATCCAAGTCATTATCCAAGCATCCAGTGCTGCTCAGGAAAGAGCCTGGAGAAGCTGCTCTTCCATTGCTGAGAGAATGTGCCTGAGAGGATGAGCACCTGCAGGTCATACAGCACTGTCTTTTCATGTCTCCTGCGCCGCCTTCTTCACACGCCTCTTCTAAATGCCTCTTGCTCCTGGAACCTAAAGCAAACAGAGAAAGCAACTTTAAGAAACGACTACAGAAGCAGAGAATGCGATTTGACCCAATACTGCTTTTCTGACCGCTATATTTTAAGGATCCCACCCTCCGCTCTCCAGGTTAAATACTAAGGAAGGATAACCTTATAACCAAAGCCGTTTCAATCAAAGTGGTCTCTAACTGCCTGGAATCTCAGTTTTGAGAAAGTTCAAGCATGGCTTTCCTCCTCTTCCTCTGAGACTGCACGTACTTGGAAGGAGGCTTCATCGTGCAAATTAAGTCAAGCCATTTGCTTATTGCTTATAATTCTTGCACTAGAGCAGGGGTGTCAAACTGGAATTCTTTGAGGGCCGGATCAGCATTGTAGTTCTCCTCTGCGGTCCAGCAGGGGAGACGGGAGGGACGCCTCCAGCAGCACCCTGCCGGCAAAACAGATGCTGCCAGGAGAGGCACCGTGAGCCAATCCTTTGCTATTTCCAGCCAGCCCCATGGGTCAAATTTAAGCACCCCTGCATTAGAGTAAGCTAACCTCACTGAGCTGCAGACTTCCTACAAGACTTCCTTTACCATTTCAATAGGTAGCCTGAACAGGTAGCCCTGCAAGGAGTGTACATGATTTCCTTAAGCTTTACCTGCAGCTCAGATTCTGATGATGAAAGTCTATATACAAGAGGAAGTTAAAACAATACTAAGATTTAAGAAAACAGAAGAAAGCAGCCCACTGTGCACCAAGATTAAGTTGTAAGGATAAGAAAACTGCTACTCTAACCCTTAGTATATCAGAAATTTCTGTATTTTTTAAAAGAAGTGTAACACTGCTGCATTTAAAGGAGAGCCAGTTTGGAGTAGTGATTAAGGCACCAGGCTAGAAACAGGAGAATGAGTCCCAGTCCTGCTTTAGCCACAAAGCCAGCTGGTGACTTTGGGAAAGCCATTCCTCATGGCCCTAGGAAGGAGGCAATGGTGAACCACTTCTGAAAAATCTGGTTAAGAAAACTGTACAGTCACGTCCAGGAACTCACCAGAAGTCAATACTAATTCAAAGGTATAAAGAAGTTTAAAACATAAACTTGTATTTTTGAAAAGTCCTTTTGAAAGAAGAAATATTTTTATATGATTTATTGATATTAGCAACAATTTAATACCATATGGATATTTTAAACTCTGTATTGGTACAAGTATGCTAATCATGTTTAATCTTAGTTTTGCAAATAACCAAATTACATGAACCCAGATATTGTGGCTACATTATGGCTTACTGCACTGTGTGAATAGCCATTATAAATGGTTAGAAAGTTAGAATTAACCTCTATATTATTTGTGATATGATATTCAATTACAGATAGTCCTTGACTTATGACAATTGAGCCCAAAATTTCTGTTGCTAAGCAACATTAAGTGAATTTTGCCCCAATTTACGACCTTTCTTGCCACGGTTGTTAAGTGAATCACTTCAATTGTTAAGTTGGTAACACGGTTCTATCCAGGGAAGTTCTTTTAATAATGGGTTAATAATGAGTGTGCACTCAGTGCACTTAAACAATATATTAAAGATATGGAAATTGAACAAGATTGGGCTGCTCTTCCTAAGAATGTTTATTTGAGCAATCAAAGTCCCCCTTTTAAAGCAGCAAGATATTATATCAAATAACCACCCGCAAATTCCAAAAGGCACTAACCTTAGCAACACACTTCCCACAGCAGTTTTGGAGGGCCAATACAAAAAAATACCATATGAGCTGAGAGTGTGTCCCTGTGGACAACAGGCCATTGAAACTATAGCTCACATCCTGCTATACTACGTCTTCTATAAGGACTGACAGATTCAATTTATAACACCTCACCTAATAAAATACCCAGGAAATATTCATGTTTTTTTATGTGCAACTACTGCTATTGTATCAGTACAAAGTAGTTTCTTTGAATGTGATCAAATTTTGCTCTGTTGTATGTAAAATGAGGCAAACTTTAACTGCCCATTGATAACCCACCACCAACTGCAATACATTATCCTGTCTGCCTCTTATTTTTGTTTTTAGTATTTTTAATGCTTTTGTTTGTGGTACTGGTCTATGACAGTTGTTAAATGAATCTGGCTTCCCCATTGACTTTCCTTGTCATAAGTTTGCAAAGAGTGATCACATGACCCTATGACACTGCAGCCATCATAACTGTGAGTCCATTGCCAAGCAGCTGAATTTTGATCAGGTGAGCATGGGGATGCTGCAACGATTATGTGAAAAATGGTCAAAAGTTAACAAAACAGAATAACAGAGTTGGAAGGGACTTTGGAAGTCTTCTATTTCAACCCCCTGCTCAGGCAGGAAACCCAATACCATTTCAGACTAGTGGTGTCCAATCTCTTCTTAAAAACTTCCAGTGTTGGAGCATTCACAACTTCTGGAGGCAAATTTGTTCCACTGGTTTCTCAGTCAGGAAATTTCTTCTTACTTCTTGGTTGGTTTTCTCCTTGATCAGTTTGTATCCATTGCTTCTGGTCTTGCCTTCAGATGCTTTGGAGAATAGCTTGACTCCTTTCTGTGTGGCAACCCTTGAGATACTGGAACACCACTATCATGTCACCCCTAGTCCTTCTATTCATTAAAATAGTCACATCCAATTCCAGCAACTGTTCTTTATATGTTTTAATCTACAGTCCCCTAAAAAACTCCCCTTTTTCAGTACTGTTGTAACTTCAAACGGTCACTAAATGAACTGTTGTAAGTCAAAGACTACTCGTAATGCGATCCAAATAATAGGAAAAGTATTCTCAGCATCAAAGTCCTAATTTTCTGGGAGTTATAGCTACTCTACAGGGAAGATACAGTTTCTATTCAACAGTGACTTGTTTACATCAAAAAGTTTCAAAACCAACATTCAATAAAATAAACTGTTTACGCCAAGTAAGTTACACTTCTAACAAAACAATACCTTTCCAGGGTCTACTTGGAAAGTTAAGATATTGTGAATTGTCATTGGGTGGCTAGCTAATAATAAAATGGCAGCCATAGTAGACGTAGTTAACACCTCTGTAAGCCAAAAAGCAGGTGACCCTGATCACCATTGTAGGTTCCTGGGATGCTGTCTACATCATAGCCATTTCCTTCTGGTATACTTTCAAAAATACTGCCACCATCTTCTAGCAATGACCAGGGCATATGCCAGAGACATTTGTGACACCAGAAATTCAAATTTTGCTGAATGAATTCCTATTTAATCTTTGGAAATCAATATACATACATACATACATATATATACACACACATTTATGCATATACACATGTACATATGTAATATACATACATACAGATTGATTGATTACTTTCTGTCCATTCACCACTGAGACAATTTACATTTTACTGATCTTTTTAAAGTTAGTATCTTTATGACTTTCCTTTTTATTACCTGATTAGGAAAATGTGGCATAAACTTTTAAAAGTAAAGACATCTGTTAAAAAACCCGAGGTGAGGTGAATATATAGAGGCGGAGGATAGTTCCACCTTAAGGAGAACCTGACCACTTTGCTCATGGGGGATCCAGACCAACAATCTCCACATCTCTTCCTACCAAGAACCTAAAGCTCTGTAAAAAAAAATCTTGAAAAATGCATTTTGTTTGATATTTGAAATGCAGGTTCAGTAATGCTCGAATAAACGATTTTTTTCCTGAGTTTGTTGATAAATATCCTCATTTAAATATTTTTTAACCCCCAGATGATGCCCCCCATCCCCATCAATACGGAACGGATTTAAAACGCCACGGAAAGGCCTCCTCATTCCAGCCCCTTCCCTCCCCCCCCTCCCCTCCCTTCCCTTCCCTTCCCTGGAGACGGTCGGGCCCCCAATCAGAAGAACCCGCCGCAGCCCCCCTCGCCCCGCCCCTTCCTTCCGCTTTCTCTTCCGGCCTCCCGTGTCACTATGGTTACTACGCCCCGCCCCCGCGCCTTTCGCGACGCCCCCCTCCGGCCATCCCCAAAAGCCCCGGAAGCCCCTCCCAAGGCAGGCCCCGCCCCTCCTGCAAGGGGGGCGCAGGAAAGGGGCTCGACCCCCTCAGCGAGCCACCGCGAAGCCCTCCCGGCCGAAAGCCGCGTCGCCCACCGCCCGGCTGCTCTTGGCGAGAGGCGCGAGAGGCCCAGGCGCGCCCCCCTCTCCGCCCCCCCCCCGACAGCAGCCGCTTGGGTGACTCACCCGCCGCCATCTTTGCCGGAGAGGCGCTGGCCCCGCCCCTTCGATCGGCCTTTCGGTGCTCGCGCGGCAGAGGCGCCAGGGCGAGGGGAGGAGCGCCGAGCGGCAGCGGGTGTGACGCGTGGAGAGCCGCCCGGCGGGGACGCAGCTCGCAGGCCGCCCGCGCCAGGTGCGCTGCCTTCCCCGTCGGCCCCTCGGCTTCCCCCGAAGGCGCCCGGGGACTGCGGCGGGGTCTCCCCGGAGGCGCCTCGCCGGCGAGAGTTGCGTGGCGGGCGGGCGGGCGGGCTGGGCTGTGGGTCGCTGAGTGGGCCCGGGATCCCCGCCTGCTTCCCTTCTGATCTCCCCGCTGGAGAAGGGGCGCTGCGGAGAGGGGCTGCCCTTCCGGTCCCTTCCGGGCACTCAGGGCCGTTCGGTTGGTTTCAGGCTCGGAGGCCGCCGCGTGAGTCAGCAGCTGTCGGGAGCCACGATGGGGGATGAGCTGGCAGCCCAGGAGAAGCTTCACCTCATCACCCGGAATCTGCAGGTCCTCGGCTGTGGGGGGGGGGGGGGGGGGAGGGAAGAAGGGGCGGAGGAGCTCAGGAAGAAACCGGCCCTGAGCAAGGACGGGCCTCGAGCGCTGCCCTGCGAGTTAAAGTCGTTCTTCGTTCATTCGATTTCTTTTTTTAAAAAGTTTTTTTTTTATTTTTATGAACAAACAAACATAGAATACATAATCAATCAATCAGTGTATCATCTGAGTACATCTTTTGTGTCTCCTCCCTACCCCTCAATTACTTCACATATCTTAATATTTATCATTTCATTTATTATGCCATTTCTCCCATCTTTCTTTGCACTATTACTCTATATATTCTCCAACTAATAATAAAATTGCCCCCGTATCTTAAAATATCCTGATTCCTCTCTTTCTTTAAATGTCAAAGTCAATCTATTCATTTCTGCACAATCCAATATTTTCTTAATGATTTCCCCCTCCATGGGGATTTTTTCTGCTTTCCATCTTTGCGCAAATACTATCCTCACTGCAGTTACAACATGTACAATCAAATATATATTTTCCTTACTAAGTTTCTCTGGTAAGATACCCAATAGGAACAGTTCAGGTTTTAAATCTATATGTTGTTGTATCATTTCTTCCAACCATGTTTTGATTTTCATCCAATAATTTCTCACTTCTTGACATGTCCACCACGTATGATAATATGATCCTGGTATCTGATGACATTTCCAACATTTTGCAGATTTATCTTTAAACATTTTTTGCCAATTTTTCAGGTGGCATATGCCATCTATAAAACATTTTATATTGATTCTCCTTATATGCTGTGGACATTTAATTTATAATTCTTTTCCCATAGTTGCTGCCATTTATCTAGCTCAATTGAATATCTGAATTTTTTTGGCCAAGCTATCATTTACCTGTTCTTCTAATTCAATACTAAGTAGATAGTTATATATTATTTTAATTATTTGTTCATCTGTTCCTGTGAGTTTCTTATCCAGTTCTGTCATTTCTAAATAGAAGCCATATAATTTAGCATCTTTTTCATATCTTGTTTGAATTTGCATGAGTATACCAAGCCATCTCAATCCCTTGTTCTTCTATTTCTTGTTTCCCTTTCAATTCCCCCTTATCGGTTAAAATAGCCTTATATCTAAGAATATTTCTAATATTAATAATGTTTGGATGTTTTAATGCTTCCATTGTTGATAACCATGCTGGTATTTTCAAATAATATTTATCTCTAATCTTCTCCCACACTAATAATAATGCATTTCTTACATAATGTCTTTGAAAATAAATACGCATCTGTGTTGTGATAAAAAAAAGATGAGTGCAGAACGCAGAAATGCCGTGGACAGTCTTCCCTGATTTTGCTGCTTTTCTGCTACAGGGCTGATCAGATAATGGCTGCAGTGATGAGGTCTCACTTCTTGCTCTCTGCAGGGGCCAGAGAACGTGGTGGGATCTGTGACTGAAGTGGGGAGGTGAAGTTAATAAGGCTAACTAGGAATCCCTGAAGGGGAGGAAACGATGGAGACCTGACCTTCCTAAATCCCTGAAGTGCTTATCTCAAGAGAGCGCATTTAGTCTAGCAAGACTGGCAGCAACAAAGAAATTTCTCTGATGAGCTCAAGGTGTCATTCTGCTTCCTTGTGCCTGGCAGGGAAGAGCCACAATCGAATCCTTTGGGCTTCCAGGCAGCTTCAGTTATTTCTTGTTCAAGTCTTGGGGTTTTGTGGAGGCTGGCCTCGGGAAGAGTTCTGCTGCAGTCAAGACATTTAATCTTGACTTTTGGTAAAATTTCTACTTCCACCAGACATTCTAAACAATCCTATTTGTTTGCAGGAGGTTCTTGGAGAGGATAAATTGAAAGCCATCCTGAAAGAGCGGGAGCTGAAGATTTACTGGGGGACAGCCACGACGGGCAAGCCTCACATCGCCTACTTCGTGCCCATGTCCAAGATCGCAGACTTCCTCAAGGCTGGTTGTGAGGTTGAACCAACTCTGCCTTTGCTTTGGATCCTTGGGGGGAGTCATGTGATTGCTGCCACCATAGCCTGAATTGGCCTGTGGAATATTGGAGACCTCTGGAGAGGAAGACATGTGCAAAGCTCACTGGGGAATTCTGGGAGATGAAGTCCACCCACTTTAAAGCTGCCAAGATTAAGAAACACTGCCCTACTGTGTCTTCTTGGACCTCTCCCCATGTGTGACTCTGAGTCACTAGATAAACCACACCGAGCTGTATCTCTAGGGTGGGAAGGGAAGAAGAGGCAGAAGAATACTCTGTACCTTGATAAAGGAATCTCTCTTGACTCGTGGGCACAGTCATCTCATTTCCTTCAACCAAACTGTTTAAACTGGCCCAAAACTCACAACTGCATGGGAATCCTAAATTCTAGGAAATTAACTCCCAAATCACCTCCTGTTCTCAGGATTTTTATTCCTTAGGTAGAATTTGCTGCAGTTGGTAATGATAGTGATCACTGGGCAGCTATATATAATAGATGGGATTGTGATGTTTTTAGGTTTTGGGAAGGGTTGAGCCTTTAAGGATTCTCAGTCCAGTTGGTGGCAGTGGGAGTGGCACTCTGCAGTGTGAGGTTGGTAGACTCTGCAGGGCTTTCAAGGTGAACAGCCCTTGACTCTGAATCCCCTCCGTTTTCTGTCTGGGGATTTGGAGGAAAGAACACGGTTAGCCTTCCCTCAATTTTTTAGTACAAGGCAAACAGTGGGAATTGGGTGAAAACCCATCTCTGGCCCCAGAACTGCCCAGAGTGGGTGGGGTCTTTGCCTACTTTGGGGGTGGTTTAAGAAGGATGCCTCCGAGTTGTGCAGCTCTCTTCAAACCCTCTCCTCCTCCAATCAGGTTGCCTTTTCATTTTGGCTTTAAGGGTAGGGGGATTTTGTGACTTCACAGACTCCCCCCCCCGCCCAGGCCAGGGAAAGGACATTGCCTCACCGAAAAGACAGCAGCCCATATGACCCCCCACCCACTCTGTCTCTCAGGTGACCATTCTGTTCGCTGATCTCCATGCCTACCTAGACAACATGAAGGCTCCGTGGGAACTTCTGGAATTGCGTACTCAGTATTATGAGGGGGTCATTAAGGCAATGCTGGAGAGCATCGGTGTGCCTCTGGAGAAGCTCCGGTTCGTCCGAGGGACCAACTTCCAGCTCAGCAAGTAAGTTGAGAGGGCCGAAGCCACCCTCTTTCTGCCAGGAGAAATCCTGGGAAAGATAGAGTCTGATGCCAAAGGCAGATTTTTTAACATTACTATTTAATATACTTATATGTCCCCTGGCTCCCAATGACTCTGGGCTGTTTATAACAAAAATCAATAAAACCTAAAAGGTGGATGGAAGATGCCAAGCATGACAGACAGGTGGCATGGATTGGGGAGAGTC